GTTACCTTATTTTATAACATAATGCCCATTGGTGGACACAAATCCTATAACATATTTTGTAACATAATACCCATTTTATCCCCATTGTATTTTGAGTATTTATTAATGAAGTTGATATTTTGTCCCCTTCAAAATCTATGTAATTTTACTTTGGCCCCTCCAAAATATAAATAATTTTGCCTTGTTCCCCTCTTTGTATTTTGTACACTGTTTACATATTGTGAACATGCTCATACCGGACATTTTTTTTCTTAGTAGCTATGATTTGTTTTGCTAGTATGCAATGCACACTTTCGGTGAGAGGAGGTAAGCTATTAAGAGCTGTTATACTATCTCTTTGCCATTGGATACACCCTCTCTATATATAGTGTTGGTAAGAATATTTAGTTTATTGTCCTTTAGCCTTGCGGTGATATATGACTAGCCAGTCATGATATATGTTCATGCTAGCCTCTTTTTTTTACTATATTTTTTTCCCTCTATTTCTCCTTCTACAATGACCACCATATTTTTTCTATACATCATGCAATGGCATTTCTTGTGAAGTGCAATTTGTAGATTCTAATATTTGTTTGGTTGGGGCTATGACTGAAAAAGATGATTTCTGATTTTGTTGATGCAGTTGTGGATTATATTTCTATATTTTTACATATAGTGAACTTTGCTTGACATGGTGGCCAAAATATTTGGAATGGATCCCTTGGATATTGTTAACAGGATATCATTTTTACTATTATGTGCAGTTTTCTTTATGATACGGTTAATTTGTTAATGTAAATTGATTTTCACTTCCCTCAAATTGGCAGGAAAGACTGGAGGATATTGAAAGGGACTAACGTGAATATGCATTGGACGATGAGGACAAGAAGGTTCAAGACGTAATTCTTAAACCAGACCCTTCAAAAAATGACACTATGTGGTTGAAGAAAACTCTTTCTTGTTCCTACCCAAACTTGCCTTTTAATGAGGCACGTCAAAAAGAAAATGAAAAGCTTCAGTTAGAACTACAACGTTCACAAGCCAATTTGGATGTGGGTGAGTGTGAAGTAATTCAACACCTGCTTGATGTCACAGACGCTGTTGCCGTAAATTCTGTATCTGAGAAGAGTTCACCCATGAGAATTTCCAAAAAGGTGGAGCAGAACTATTCAGATGTTAATAGTGAAAAGGAGCATTCATATGATGAAAGCTACACTAAGCAAAGTGAGACTTACTCAACTTCAAGGTTTGTTTTCTCTCCTTTTTTTGTTTTTGTTTTTGTTTATTTGTTGTTGTTGTAGAAGAGAGTGAAATCAATGCAGTTTGTGTTGGTGTCAAATGGCCTATATTGCCTCATTAATTTGAAACCTGTGCTTATCAGAAAACAGTTAATGTATTTACTCTGTCATGTAATTCATTGAATCATTAACAAATTTTAACTAGTAGATTGCTTGAATTCTTAACTCAGTTGCCTAATATGAGAATTTTCTGTTTAAATTCTTTGCAAAAACACTTCCTCAGTATCATCCGGGCGTGATCTGCTGTCTACTAGAGGTTCAAATTGGGATGATGAATGGCATTCAAATTTGCTCGGCTGTTGTTCTGAACTTATTTTGTGTATGTTATATGATTATATCACAGCACTTGTTATTCAACTACATGATGCCAGAACAACAACCTATTTTGTGTATATTCTAAATGAACACGTGTTGATTGGCTTATCAGATATAAATTTAAAGTCAGTTTCGTTTTCTATGTTCTACCTTTCTAGAGCAGAGAGGTAGTATTGTGGAGTAACTTCTATTTGCCTTCCTTTTTCCTCTACATAGACTGATAATTAGGACATAAGATGTAAAGGGGATTTCTACTTATTTGTGTTTTCTTTTCCTTTTTGAGTCAATTCTTTATTGGTCTGGTACCCTTTGCAAATTACAAATTATAAGATGCAAAGATTCTTTAGTGGTCGGATTCAATATGTGTGTAGAGGTAGTTAATTGTGTTAGATGTGTCTTTTCAGCTGAACTTTTTTAATTAGCTCATTGCTGAGGCCTTAAAAGTATATAACTCATTGATTTTTTCCTTGTGCTGATTACAGGACAACTTGCTCGGGAAGTTTACAAGAACATTAGGAGATAAGCTTCTTGTCTGAGAATTCAGAGAGATTTTCGCATGCATCTTGCTAGGAAAGCTTATAAAGAATTGTGCTCTTTTGCTGTTTCTATTCAGGCTGGCATGCGTGGAATAGTTGCACGTGATGAGCTTTGCTTCAGAAGGCAGATTGCTTTTTATGGAAAGCTTTCATTGCTGTATTCTCTTAGACTACTTGACTACATGAATTGTGCATTTGGATGTATTAGTAGAAACTCCAACAATTTCTTTTACACTAGCTTCTGTTCAACTAAGTACTTTAAAATAACCATATTATAACCTTTTATAATAATGTTTTTCTTTTGGAGAGCAGTTCGAAAACTCTCTTAGAATCTCCAACTACTTCATGGGTTTAAAATTAGCACAATTTCAAAAAAAAAAAAATGAAAAAGGATATCACGGCGCTTTTCAAAACGCCACTTAAATCCTAAATCTAACGGTCAGATTTTTTAAAAAGATATGACGGCGTTTTAAAAACGTCGCTAAATATCATAGTACTATTATGTAGGACATTTGGTGGCGTTTTTAAAAACGCCGCCTACACTAATGTAACGACGTTTTAAAGCGTCATAAAGCTATAGCGACGGCTGCTATTTTGGCGTTTGATACTAAACGTCACAAAAAGAATTAGCGATGTTTTCACCTATGGCGGCGTTTAAAAAACGCCGCTAAATACTATTTTCCAGCAGTGTATTGAAATAATATTTTTCCCATTAAATTAGACTGCAATGATTATTGATTTGTATAGTAGACCATATAAACAGAAATTAAAATTGTGGGAACTAATAGACGAAATAGAAACAATGATGATAGTTTAAAGTGAAATTAACCCACCAAAAAATCTATTGAGATTATAAGACTAGTTCCAGACCTAATTGATTTGCAGCATCATCCAATCCAATCCAAACGAGTCCACGCCATCTTGATTATAAAAGTTAAGAAAACTAAACAAAAATCATTATGTTACAAAACTACCCAGATTCACCAAGAAATATATAGATATAGATTTAGAGAGAGAGAGCGAGAGAGAGAGAGAGAGAGAAATGGAGAGGGATTCCTTGGAGCACAAGAGGCCGAGAGATTTCTCTTTGCGGCTGTAGTAGTATTGGAGCTCAAGATAATTTCAATCAGTGTGTTTGGTTTTGATTTTTTGAATTTTATTTTTTAAAAATTAAATTTTATTTTTTTTTGTTTTTTTTATTTTTAGTAAATATTTTTAAAATTTTAAGTAATTTTTTACTTTTTTTAGATGCATCTTACATATATCTAAATAGTAAAATATTTTAAAAAATTAATAAATACACACAAATATAAAAAATGTACTGAATTTTTGTATTTTTTGTGAATTTTTTAAATATTTTTTTGAAAAAATTAGTTTAAGGTCCCTTTCCCATTTTTAGTAATGGAAGAGAACCACAATATTATTGTATGATGTCTAAGGTCCCTCAACCCCCACACCCCTATATTACAGAGAAATTTGACTCTCTCAAATCAAATTTCATTTCTATATCTAAATAGTAAAATATTTTAAAAAATTAATAAATACACACAAATATAAAAAATGTACTGAATTTTTGTATTTTTTGTGAATTTTTTAAATATTTTTTTGAAAAAATTAGTTTAAGGTCATTTTCCCATTTTTAGTAATGGAAGAGAACCACAATATTATTTTATGATATCTAAGGTCCCTTAACCCCCATACCCCTATATTACAGAGAAATTTAACTCTCTCAAATCAAATTTCATTTCTCTCTCTCTACTTCAATACTATTTAAACCTTAGTTCTCACCAATCTTCTTCTTCTCTTTCTACAAAAATGACAAACAACGGTCGACTACTCGCTGAGATTGTGATTTTGAAAGGTATGATTTAATATATTGCAAAAAAGGGTCTGATCCATTCGCTGATATGAATGTTTTTTATGATTTCATCAAGAAATCGTTGCACATTGATGTTAGCAAGACCCAATGAAAAAGTGAGGAGGTTGAAGAAGAAGTATGAGAACAATGCTAGCAACAGTAAACTGGGCGAGAATCGGACTTTTTCGAAGGCTCATGAGCAAAAAACATATGAATTGTTGAAAAAGATATGGTTTGGTGGAGCTAATTCTGTAGGTGTTGATAGTGCAAAAGTTAATGGGAAAGCAAGAAAGAATTAGAGTCAAAGAGCTATTGTAGCTTCACCAAGGGATTGATAGTAGGAAGGAAGAAACAAAGATGCAGGTTGAGCCAAGTGTAAGGGTGTCTCTCTCATAATTTAACTTGGTTTTTAATTTCTTCGTCTGCGAATTGTGTATTTTTCTACAACTTGTGTTTAGCTCATATTCACTGTAATTTATGTAACTGAATGGGAATTGGTTCTTACTCTGTTTTGTTTCTGTGAAATTTTTCTCCTAGATTTGGTCATATTGAATCTAAATTAAGCTTGTTTATGTTTGAACTTTTGCTAAATTTGTTTTCTTGTCAGATTGTTCTTCTTTACTCTTTTGTGAATTGTTTATTCCAAGGCATATTTTGGGAAGTGATTTTATTTTGGAATTTCTCTATATTCCCAGAATTTCTCTGGAGAAAGAAGATGATGAACAAAGAAGATGATAATGAATGCTTTAGGAATTTTCTCTGAACAAAGAAGATGATGAAGGCTTTAAGAATTTTTCTAAGAAGTCCAGAATTTCTCTAGAAAAGAAGATGATGAAGGCTTTAGAAATTTCTTTGGGAAGTCCATAATTTCACTAGACTTCTCAGAATTTCTCTGGACAAAGAAGATGATGAAGGCTTTAAGAATTTCTTTGGGAAGTCTATAATTTCTCTAGACTTCTCAGAATTTCTCTAGACAAAGAAGATGATGAAGGCTTTAAGAATTTCTCTGGACAAAGATAAAGGCTTAAGTTAGAAATTTCTTTGGAAAGTTTAGAATTTCTCTGAAGAGTGAAGTTCAGAGAAATTTTCAGAATTTCTCTGGATCAATTTTTTTTTTGGTCGAATTTTCTCTGGATCGATGTTAAAAGACTTTAGACATTATGAAAATATTGAGTGTCCTTTATACTATAAAATCTTAATACCAGGAATCTTAAAAAAAAAAAAAAACCCTATTTTTTTATAAATATTATACTTTTTAAGTGTATTTATGTTAAGTGTGTCTAAAAATTACAAAAATTGATGGAACTATTAAAAAAAATGAGTAAAAATAAAAAAACATGAAAAATGAAAAAGTAGAATTTTCTGAAAATGAAAACCGGTGAATGTTGTTTCAAAAATTAATTTGAAGAAAAAAAAAATCTAAAGACAAGTCGTTTTTAAATTGGGAAAATTGTTTCACATAAAAGTAAGGAGTAGTGAAGATTTGAACTTTTATTTTGTTTCTAAAAATACAAAAAAACGAAATCAATACCAAATAAACATTTCCCTCTTACATTGAGATCAAATATGTTTTCAGATTGAACAAGGGAGTTATGTGCGAGGTAATTTTAGGGAATGCCGTTTGAAAAACAAAGCGAAAAAAAAAAAAAAAAAGAGTTGATTTGCTAATTAAATTTGAAAGTATGTCCACATTAAAAAAATATATATTGTAATTAAACTTAAATTAAGATTTGTTAATTCCCCTAAGAGGATTCACACTATCCATCCAAGTCTTGAAATGTTAATTTTTTAGGTTATATTTTGATCACAAACTCTTTTGCTAAACAAGCATTTGCAAAAAATTGATTTGATTAGAAAATTGAATTTCAAATAAAAATAGAATTAGAATAAAATAAAGATTCACTTAATTCCTCCAAGTGGGTTCAGGCTACCCAACAAAAGAAGCATCAAAATGTTACTTTTATGGGTAAATTTAAACCCCTCAAAAAAACGATGAAGAAATCCAAGAGGTTGTTGTTTGATTTGAAACAATATTTTTGGCAGCTCCATCACTGGTAGAGAAACCATAGAAGCTTTATAGCCACTTCATTTTGCTTCACCACCCCAAAACAACATAAACAACTTTTTTTTCAATTCAAGCAAACAACCTGAAATTCAAGATGCCTCAAAGTAACCACAAGAGAAATAGTGAAATCTCATTTCTAAATTTAATAAATCAATCATCACATTAACCCATACAAACATAAGTATCTGAAAGCAAAAGCAGAATGAATATTGTACTGAGAAAAATAGCAAACTAGTTCTTAACACTGCCAAAAGACAGGAAGAACAATAGATTTTTTCAATTCAAGCAAACAACCTGAAATTCAAGATGCCTCAAAGTAACCACAAGAGAAATAGTGAAATCTCATTTCTAAATTTAATAAATCAATCATCACATTAACCCATACAAACACAAGTATCTGAAAGCAAAAGCAGAATGAAAATTGTACTCAGAAAAATAGCAAACTAGTTCTTAACACTGCCAAAAGACAGGGACAACAATAGAAACAAAAACAAAACTGAAATCTATAAGTAGTATTAATCGACTGTGGTCACCTGTTGCCACTCCCCGTCAACTGCTTCTTTCCACAACGTGACGTTGTTGTCCTCAGCAGCCACAGCCAACAAGTTTCCTGTCAAGGACCACGAGACCCTCCAAACAGGGGTCGTAAAGTCCTTCAAAACTTTACCTTCCCATTCATCGCCTTCTTTTGCCACAGTCCATATGACAACTGTACCATCCTGCGAAGAACTTGCAATAGTAGACTTTGGAAGGCCCAAGTTGGGTGCCCAAGCCACATCCCTCACCCAATCAGCGTGCATCTGCAACGCAGGGAAGCAGTCCATCTTCCAATTTCCATTATATAGCTTCCACACCTTTACAGTATTATCACAGCCACCAGAAGCCAGCTTCTGAACAGGATCGAGTATGCCACATCCAACTAGAGCACCAGGAGCCATAGAAGGGGCCCATGAAACTGACGTCACTCCAAGAGGGTGGGCTCCATCTATCCTGGTGGTATCCCAACCACCATCAGATCTCGCAGTGAAGACTGAGATATTCCCATCAGAAGATCCACAAGCTAAGCAGAGGCCAAGTTCGTGCGGTGCCCAAGCAATTGAATTGACAGATGATTTATGGTCGGTGAAAACATGAGCCTGCGTCCACTCATTTCGATTACCTTCCTTCCAAATTATTACTCTACCATCATAAGAACAGGAAGCAAGGATTGATCCGAATTTGGGATGAGCCCAAGCAACCTGCCAAACTGGGCCTTGATGTCCAGTCAGTGTTGCAAGGTGCTGTGAAGTAGAGTTGTTGCTTACACCAATTATTTTGATAGTGGTATCGGATGAACCGGTTGCTACACGCTTTCCAAAGTAATCCATGGATACATCATGAACTGTGTCATTGTGACCTGTATCAATCTTCTGGGCCGGCATCTTTACTTGATTTTTTATCACAGTGATTCCGCTTACAACCTTCCTTTACTTACTAGTTTGCCGTTATATAGTACCTTCCAAGCTACAATTTGTGATCAGAGTCAAATTAGATCATTAAACAAATGGCCACTAATTGTTGAAACACAACAGTAATTTGGTGAAATCATTCTTCAAAACACAAGCAACTCTAAATAATAAGCAAAATACACCCTTACAATGCAAGAAAATTATTTTTCAATAATTAAAAAAACAAATCTTAACAATATAGAAATATGGAATTTGGACATGTAAGAATTTTATATTGCATGTTGAGAATCAACATGATTCAACCAGTTATTTGTTCCCACAGAAGAAATCACTCGGTAAACAATTAATCCCTTGTCTGACAAACACCAACCTCTTAAAAAAACATATCCTTCTGAAGGCATGTAACTAGCTTTTGCATTCACCTCCTAAGCTTATATTCCAGTATTAATCATCTGCTTTAATGCCAAAAGTTGGAAGACCTAACTGGTTTGAAGGCTGTGTTGAATCTACGTTATGTGATCATGTGATTATTGAATCTAGGTCGTTCCCCTAAAGTGACGCGTTGTGCCTGCCTCCGGGGTGTTTCGAAAAGTGAGCAAGGGGCACCGCATCGACGCCTGGGTGCGGTGGAAAATCGGCAAAGGTTTCTACATTTTTCTGAACGAGTGCGGGTAAAGAAGCTAGTCCAATACTATAAGTCTAGGGTAACTACTTGGAATATAGGAACCTTAAGACGATAGAATTTGTAGATGTTATGATTAGGAGGAGAGTTAGTATAGCATGCGTACAAGAAACTAAGTGGACGGGTGAAAAGCTAGGGAAATTAAGGATACCGGTTTTAAACTGTATTATAGTGGTAAGGATAGACGCAGAAATGGGGTAGGAATCATAGTTGCCAAGGGTCTTATGGAAAATGTAGAAGTGGTCATTAGAGAAAGGAAATGTTGGTCTGACCTATTCTCTACAGATAGCACCAAAGGCTCGATCATATACTATCACAATTTCCTGTTAATTAGTTCTTGATACATAGATACATACACACCAAAATGGGGACCACTATTCTCAATTGGTACTTTATCTTATTTTTCGGCCATGCTACTTTGCTTCCAACCCTAATGGCCAACATTGGCCAATTCGATGAGGTGTGGCAAAGGCGAACAGAGGAAGCAAAAGAGGCCGCCCTTAATTCCTATGAATCAGATCCTTCAATAGTCACTGATAGCTTAAACAAAGAAGTTCACAGGTAGGTGTTTTATTTTGACATCAAGGCAAATATATATCATTGACATATTATAATCAATATATAGATAGTTGATATTTATGCATATATATATTTTGTGCAGGACTTTAAAGAGCATCAAATTGACAAGCAATGCCACTATGTCAAGCAACATCCATTTGACAAGCAACAGCACTAGAAAGCACCTAAAGGGAAAACGATACGGTGGTCCATGCTTGGCTACCAACCCAATTGATAGGTGTTGGAGATGCCAACCAAATTGGCATCTTAACCGAAAGAGACTAGCAGATTGTGTCCTTGGCTTTGGTTACAAGACAACCGGTGGTAAGGCTGGAAAATTTTATGCTGTGACAGAAAATTCAGACGATTCTAGTAGACCAAAACCCGGAAGCCTCCGCCATGCTGTGAGCCAAAAGGAGCCATTGTGGGTCATATTCGCACGCAGCATGAATATCAGGCTAACTGAGGAGTTGATCATGCAGGGTGATAAGATTATTGATGGCCGTGGGGCTCATGTAAACATTATTGGTGGGGCTGGTATCACCATCCAGTTTATAAAGAATGTGATCGTTCATAATCTTCATATACGAAATATTGTTTCTGCCAATGGTGGCAACGTCATAGATGCCGTTGACCATATTGGCTTTAGGACGAGGAGTGATGGGGATGGCATTTCAATCTATGGATCTTCCAATGTTTGGATTGATCATGTCTCTATGTCTAACTGTGTGGAAGGCCTCATTGATGCCATTGAGGGATCCACTGCTATCACCATTTCAAATAGCCATTTCACAGTCATAATGAGGTAACATAATTGATTTGTATTAGTTGGATGCGTTTTCATCTTCTAAGCTAAGTGATATAATGAACTAATAAAAATTCAAATTATCGCAAGTGTAATAATGTATA